AGTTTATCATACAACACAGAATGATGGCCACTTTTGACTGATCAACTATTTGGTCTGGTAATGCAATTGTTGTTCTAATACTAAATCCGAAGTCACACAGAACAGAACAAACTTGAATAATTATCCATTTAAAATATGGTTAGAATCCATTCTATGGGATGTCTTAAGACCCATAAATCAGCTTAAATAGTTATTACACGGGTTTAAATACTGGTAAAGGCAAGTTTTAAATCAGGTTTTAAACCGAATTGTTGAATACCTTCCTAAAAGATGTATTCCTTAACTACAATGTGAAGTTACAAATACATATTAGATTAGAACATCCCAGTTATAACCAAAACTACTATATTTTTTTAGGACACTTTGGTGTTATGGCATTACATTTTCTTACCATTTATCTCTGATAAGTGATTACTTATGTTGAGTTGTAATGATTTGGAATCTATGTTTTTGGTTAATCTTAAGTATCTCTCAGATTATGCTTTTTCCCTCCTTCAGGACTGTGAGATGGAAAGTTGCTTGTCTTTGGACTGATCATGGATAGTTGGAGATGGCCAGGTTAGGAAAACAACCTCTTCTATGCCGTGTCATATGTGTGAAGAGCTAATCATATGTGAACAATTTTGATTTCTTATACAACTGATATTTCAGAGGGAAAAAATATAATTAAAGTCAATGGAAATTTATACAAGGTTTCTTTTTTGAAGGTTCTTAGTAGTAATAGATATTTCATGCCCTTATTGATTGATAATTTTTCCCTTGCTAAACATAAAGAACTTCCCGAGAGATGGTATTGCTTCTTTGATCGGCAGAAACTGTAAATTAACTTCAAATGGACCAATTGTGTCCTGTCTTTAATATAAGGTGATGCTTTTCACTGATGACACTTTGAATCCCATCTACTTGATGTTGGTGGAACGGCAATTCCTGCGTATCTCCCCTTGTTTCCTGTCAAAACTTTAAGCCCTCCCATCCGACTTATTGACAAAGCAAATTCTTCGCCGAAATCTTCGAAACTGCCAGCATATTGATTGGTTAATTGCTTTGTGCCATTACTACTACCATACAGTAGCTGCTGATCAACTGCTAGGACAGATTTATGGGATAGGACCCTTGAGTAGTAGCTGTTGGTGAACTTGTAATTGGGGCCGTTATCTGGGTTTAGAAATACAAGTGGGTTGCGTTGGCCTGTCTTCGATTTGGGTGGGCACTGCTTTCTCAAGTTCGTTAGTAAGGATTTCTTCATGCTGGGATCTGGTTTTCCTGTATTATTGAAATTGTACAGACGGTCGAGGATGTAGCTGCAATGTGCTTTGCCCATTGTATGTGCCCCTGCAGAACAGAAAAAAGGTCTGTGTTTTTCATTGGTAATTTGGTCCGGCTTTAGAGAATTCTTTGCACCCCACCCCTTTTTTCGCTTATTTATTTTTATAATCGATCTTAAACTTTTTAATTGTGGTTCAAGTCAAGAGATATTTTACTTAATAATTTAAAAACCTATACTTCACCTCATATAATGTTAGACTAGAGTTTTACTATTAGAATTTCTATCAAAATTAACGATCAAAGATCAGAAGTAAAAGTTTTAAAACATAGCTATGCATAGTGCATCTCTTTTTTTTTTCTCTCTTCACACTAAATAATCTCTTTATATCTTCTTGTTCTGTATAGTAAGGATATGAGGATATTATTACATTAGTATAGAAGTTTCATGTATGAAAAATACTAGTGACACAAAAAATAAATCGTATTATTGTCTTCTTATATAAATTACTAGGGATAACCTGCGTCTGACGACACGATGTAACGTAAGTGAGAAGTGATTGATTTAGAGGAAGGGGGGGGGGGAGAATTTAATGTGAATGATTTTGAAATGAATGTCGATGACTGTTGGATTAGTTTATTTGAGAACGTCGAATGAGTTTATTGAAGATTACCTGATTTTATATTATAAAAATTAACTTTGTTTACTGTGCACTTAATTTTTTGTTGAAGTATGTTCATTCTCTAATAATTTAAACTTTTGGAGTAACTTAACATGAGGTCTAGAGTGTTTGAATCTCGTCATCACTTTAATGATTAAATGATTTTGACATGTGTGGCGTAAAATCCACCTGCGTGGAGGGGGCGTATTGAAGTGTATAAAAGGTTGAAATGGAGATTTTCCATAATACAAGGAGGCAAAGCCTAATCAAAATTATAGAGCGGAAGGAAAAGAAAGATACAGGGAGGAGGGTTTGTCAAAATTTTATTCATAAAAATTTGAAAAATGTGTAGTAGAGAAGTAACAGCTTACCTAGGAGGGTAGCCATGTCCTGCACATCTAAGCCTTTGGATCTGAAGAAGGCCAGTGCTGACTCCCAGGAGATTGACGGCGACGGGTAGTATACCCATTCTGCTTTTGATTCCAGCCCGTCCCTTCTGCCTAAGAATACAGGATAAGATGGTGCACCTGCCTGTGAATTTCATCCAAATACACCATTAAGCCATTTGAGTCCCGGCTGCTGAAAATGTTTTTTCTGTATCATACGGTACCACAAAATACAATAGTCGAGTGTTTAAGCTATTACTTTCTCAGGTGCTATTTGATATACCCTCAAAAAGTTATATCTAGGCACCAAAAATTATATTTATTATGATCGATTTTAAAATGTTATGATTGATCTTAAATTTTTTGTTACAGTTTGACGTCAAACAAAAATTCTAGTTTTCGATACTACGGTAATAAAATATTATGAAATTAAGTGTGACAGAGGGATCAAAATTCTCTCCAATACTAAATTTCCTCGATTATCTCAATGTTAAGTTACCCACAGTGTATATGAGACTTTCTCCTATAAGTGTAGGTTTTACATTGATTCATGGTAGGTATTTGAGCATTGAGAGAAGTGATTTGTATCCGTGATAGTATGTATGAGTGTAGGTCGAAGACTTTACGTAATGAACGGCGTCTCTGGTTGCAAGGTTGAGAATGTCAGTGCAGGAGACTGCTCCCGGACATCGATCTTCGATGACGATCTTGATTTTGTCGATGACATCAAACACTGTTAGTCCTAAATTTGGTAGCTTAGCTCCGAGCCCTGCATTTTGGGGAGCAGTTTTCTCTGATTGTGGACCGTCCAGCAGTATTGATGCATCGCATCCCTGTTTCATGCACATATCAAGCTATGGTTTTAAAAAATGAAAACCAAAACATGGTATAACTTCTTAAGTGGAGCTATTTTCTCAAATGGGTTGAGAGAGAGAGAGAGAGAGAGAGAGAGAGAGCACTACAAAGAACAGTCCAATTGAGGTGAAGATACAATATGACACATTTTGAATGGAAAATTACATCACTTCAACACAGTTTTTCAATTGAACATCAATGTTATCAGAATGTTAAAACTCTTAGCATACGATAGGTATATGAAAAAATACACAAAGATTGAAAAACACAAGGGACATACATTGACCATACAGTCTGAATAGAGCAACTTAAGAAGCTTGGCTGTGAGGCTCTTTTCCTTGTTCCAAAACAGCATCACTTGATGCTGGACAAATGCCTCCACATTTTTACACGTAATAAGTTTCTTGTAGTAGTGGCGGGTAAGAGGTCGATCCTCCGGTGGTAGCGTTATCGCCGCCTGCACGCAACTTGAACGGAAGCTTAGTGCAAGAGATAGCAGAGAGATGAGGAGCAAAAACCCTTCTCTCCCCATCTTCAATGCTAACACAGACCTTTAACTGCACTACGAAAATTATCGGCACAAACTTTATATAGAGCAAGACCATGGGCATAGTCCACCTGGAGCGACCGGCAATGCCAGTTAAATAATCATCAAAAAATAAAATGTTTCGAGTTAATTAATCTATTAGTTTAAATAAAATTAGTATAGAGTAAATTATACATTAACCTCCTTAACTATATTCTATATTTCCTATTGTCCCCTTAATATTACGTTCTTTATATTGCACTTCCATCTACACTATCCCAATTATAGACATTAAAAACATGTATTTTACTTTGCAAGGAGAGGCAAAGTGAGAAATTTACTTTGTAGTTGAAGAGATTAAGTGAGATCTGGGTCAAAGTTGAAGAGATTAAAGGGTAATTTTTTTTTTATAAGAAAAAAATCAGGCCTCCATACATGACGGCGTGTGTGGAGGAGTTGAGTTCACATGCACCAAGTTGTTAAACATTCTTATACGAAATCTCATGCAAGCTTGCTTCCAACGCAAGGTACGCGCAGATTTTAGGTCACTTAACAATGCCAAGTTGTTAAACATTCTCCTAAAAAATTTTCAATTATGAAAAAGACTAGTCTATCAATTTAGGTGTGTATTTTAACCTCATTGACCTTGACCAGATAGAATCCTATTATTTTAGTTAAGTGTGAAAGCTAATGGTTTTTTGAGTAGTTTTGGGGGAAAGAGTAGGCGTTAGTACCACGTTGTCATACCTGCTCAAGTAAATTAAAGACAATAACATAATAAATGACTACATATAAATTATGTTATAATGCATGGAAAAAGTTAAAGTGTAATTAAGGGGAATTGTTCTTGCTTCGTGGAGCTTCATTGCCCCAAGTTATCAATTATCTATGGTCAGGTATAAGATCCTCAATGGCTTGCAAACTCCTAACTCTTCTTTCAGAGACAAATCTCTCTCTCTCTCTCTCTCTCTGTACATTTTCTCACCCCGAATTATTGAGGGACCCTTGATGAAGATAAATCTTATAACTTTCATTTTATATAATGGGAGGGGAGGGACTACGTTTCTGAGAAAAAATATGGTGGTAAAAGGAAGACTCTTAATCAAGAACTCACCCATGTCAGGCCATATTTTGAAAAAAAATATATATCGGAGGGATCTCAAGAATCACAGGGTGTCATCTAAGTAACAACTATTCAAATGCAAGATTATGCGGCTTCAGGTCAGCATGGAAGTTGAATGACTTTGTTGATCCAAGGCAGTTTTCTCCTTAAAAAAGTTATTTTCCACAACTGGCACTGACTATGTGTACAACTGTAAAGAAATTGTCTTATCTTACCTAGTCTGCTTCATTCTTTGTCAACTATATATAATATACATTTGTGTAATAACTTAATGAAGCAATCAGTTTTTTTTTTCCACCTGATTGAAGCCATCAGTTGGCTTGTTCCCTTTTTTTTTTTTTTGTTTACCTCATTCTTTTCAGTGGAATTCACTAAATGGTGATATAAGGAGCTGAATATGAGTTTCGTGGCGTAAGAATTTATTCGATTTAATTATAATCGTATCTAATCGCATTTGTATTTTATCGAATAGGTGTTTATATAAATTGTATATAATAGGGTTCATCTATGTATAAGGCCGTGTTCATGTCATCTATTTATTAGTCTTAGTTAATGAGTAAACCTAGTGATGACCAAAACCCATTAAAACTTGTCTCAAATCCAATAATTATATGTTGGAGTGACGAACCTTGTTAAAAATTGTTATCGGTACTCATATTCTAACATTACTACACCCACCCAATAAAATATTTATAGTGTGAAGGGAGTAAATTGACCCCATTGGAACTTACTTATGTTATTAGCTGAGCCAGTGAGCCTTTCCCTCCCTCCTGTTTCTTCTAGTTTACACCATACACATTTCAGATGGAATGAGTAATGGTGATAAAAGTTAAAACTTGATCATAATTTTAACTTATTTTTTGTTGGCGTGGGTGGAGGGTTTGATTTAGCTTAATATCACGTGCTCAAACGGCAATTCATTGTGTGCTTAGTTAATGAAGCAATCACTTAGCAACCCACCACGGAATCGTGCTTTTTTTCTTTGGCATTCTTTTATGGCTACTTACTTTACCACTTCTACAATATTTATCATCAAACTTTTAGTGGGTCTTATATTAGGATTGACAATGAATTATATCATGACAGATTCATATCGTGTGAAAATATATTCCATTAAATAATATTTATTCCAATTGTTTATAATCAGATTCGTATTGTTGCAACTTCTTTACATTATGTATGTTGGAGTTGGTATTTTTTGTAACTAGATTTGAGTCGACTCTTTAATTTGTAGGTCTGACAAGTCAATAGGTTATATCCAAACTCTTTAGCCTAAGCCAATACATGGTAACATTGTGTCAACTTTAGTTAAAATTAACGAGTCGTCTTGGCAATTGTCAGCCATGGTCATATAGAAAGCAGCAATGTTTTTGTGACACTCCTATACATTCCTTTAATTTTTAAAAAAATGGATGTTATTAATTGACCATATTGGAACCCATGTAGCTCAGCCAATGCCCCCTCTCAATTTCCCCAAGCCCTCTAATTTAAACGATGCACATTTCAAATGGAAAGAGTAATGGTGACAACACTAGATCATGAGGAGGGGAAGGGACTACCTCTGGCTGTGCACCCATCACATTTGCATTCCAATTTTTTATTTATTTATTAAACATCGATGGTACGAGAGTATTATTTTATAAATTAAAAAAAAAATTACGCTTAGAAGGGCGGACTTCTGTACCTTACCCTTTAAAATTCTATTTATAGCATATGAATGAAAGAAAATAAAAATGCATGCTGTTACATAAAAATCGAAAATTCCTCTAATGCAGCCCCTAATTATGGAGTAATAAAAGCCCCTCATGATGGCCTTGTAATTTTGTTCTTCTTTCTAATGGACCTTATCTCCTGCTGATCTTGCTGAATAAGAAGTCTAATGGATATAGGAAACATATTTGTAGAAGTGTAGGTTTGTGAAACTCTATCAAGAACGCCTTTGTTAGCTAAAGAAACTACAACTGAATTGCCTTCCCTGTATGTGGAGAAATATTCATTACAACGGTGATACCATGTGGCAAGGTGATTTACTCTTGTATGTGTGCATAATTTGAAAATCAAATCCCCTTGGCATCCTGAAGATCCTGTTTGAAAAAGTCGAATATTTCCATGTAGATAGAATATTTTGCTTGATCATATCTACTAGGATTTTAGAGTCAGTTTCAATAACCAATTGATAAGGCTCCAATCCAAACTCCTGTAGAATGCATAAGCCATCCAGCAGAGCCCTGATCTCTGCCTCCATGTTTGTGCATAATCCATAAAAATAGGAGTTAACTAAAACCAGTTGACCCCAATGATCCCTTAGGACAACCCCTCCACCTGAGTAGCCTGGATTCCTCTTTGATGCACCATCCACATTAAGCTTGAGCAATCCATCTGTCAGTAACCTCTAGCTAATCCATTTGACTTGCATAATGACTGAACATGCCATAAGAATATGAAGAGATTGAAGTCCAATTAAACAAAGTATTGAAGCTATATTTCTAGGAGGGTAAATGAGTCGAGCCGATTTTAATAGTAATCTTGTCAAGTTCAATTTGAAATTTAAACAAATTTTATATATAGTTCAACTTGCCTCATTTCTCTTTTAAGCTGATCTTGAAAAAGTTTTTGTTGAGCCAATTTCAAATTACTTGACCATATACACACTGTAGAGCTTATAAATATGCTCAAGTTTAATTTTGCTTACAACTTGATTTTGGAGAAAGGCCCAATTAGGTTAACGCCTTTTGCGGTCCTATCTATTTTGGGCGAATTACAATCTATCCCCTTTAACTATGTCCTTTGTTGCAATAAATTCCTAGTGGTTTCAAATACTGTAATATGTCCCTCCAAGTTTCAAATAGATTAAATTGACTAAAAATAGTGGCCAAACACCTGAAAGAACAATTACACCATCCGGCTTGTACATTATTTCTCATTTTTTTCTTGCGATTCCAAGTTTGCCCTTATAAAATAAGGAAACGAAAAAGCCAAGACTAATGTTAGATCACATTTTATAATTGACTAATTTCGTCAAGTCTATTATAAATATCAATAGTTTTCATGGTCATGATACTATCAAGTTAAAGATCCGAAAGTATCATTTAAAGGAGGAGATCAAGCCTTAATGTAACATCATTTAACCTTCGTATGCACCTTTATACTTTGGACAAATGTAATAATCTAGATACCTAAGATGAACCCTTAATTACATTTAACTTAAGAGGATTAGGATGAAAATCAAAATGGAAGCAATATATGTATGGCTCGAAGGAGATTTCAAAAGAAAAGATTTTCTAAACAATTTTGTGTTTTAAAAACATAGATTGAGCCATTATCAAACACCTCTTGAGTAGCAACCTTTAATGTTCAAGAGGACTAGTTTTTACTTGATTTTTTGCTTCAAAAACCGGTAGGGACCAAACTATGCTTACTAGCCTTGGGTAGATTGGTCTTTGATGACTTAGGGAAGTAGACTGAAAAAGGCCACGGAAGAACAATAGAGAGCTTGCTTGAGTGGTCCTTGTTGGTCACTCGACAGGTGCTCATGGTCATTCAAGCAGTGTTGCTATTGGACAGGATGGAAACTTGAATTCTTATTCCAGTGCTAACCGCCCTATGACTTCCCTCCAATTGATCGAGCAGTTATTCACAAATTTGAGTTTTCTTATTTACTAAAATTACCCTTATTACAGACCTATAAATTGGGAGAGTTTTTCCCACAGCTAGGTTAAGCCTCTTGCTAAATTCAAAGGCTACTACTACAGATTCTACCCAACCTCATAACTTAGTGTTAAAGATCTTGATGGTGCAAACCAAACCCATTAGTGTGTGCATACTGGGGATTGTAGGCGTGCCCATGATTGCTTGAGGCCTAGAGGAATTGTGCGATAGGGAG